ATATATATATATATATATCAAAATTAGTTTCTCATCTCTCCTCTCATTGATGCAGGTCCAGACTGGCAAGCTTGAAACGATAGCCATGCAGTATTTGAGCAATGCAGAAAAGGCTAAGGTTTATGCAGAACTCTTGATCAGATTTCAAGTCAAAACAACTGCAGCTTCTGAGCTGAGCGACTCCCTCCGTGATTCCAGCCTTCTTTAGAGGATTCAACTGGCTATTGAGCATTTGGGGTTTACTTGTAGCATTGGTTCATGTGGGGTTGATGGCGTATGACAGGCCGAGTCTACCTATTGGTGGTGCCTCAACAAGCTCCTGGGAAAGTTTTGGGGGCATGATTCTGCTTTTTTTTGGAGTATATATATATATATATATATATATTTGGTCTGAGACATATGAGTATATGAAATAGGTATTTTACTTGCATATAAATTTGTACTACATATGATGCCTTAGGCTCATGAATGACAAACTGATTTCACTCTATGATTCTGCAAGGGAGCTAAAATTTTCCTTTTCTTTCCTTGACTTTGACACAAAAATCCTATGCAGAACGAAGTAAAAAGTGGGTCTTATTTCTTATCCAAGCAAAAACACAGGCAAAACCATTTCAAATTTCGTTGAATTTCACAACAAAATATCAAAAATTACAGTATGCAGAGATAAGTTATCAACATAAAGCCAAACAATCAAACAAGTAAAACCAAAAATCGATGCCAAAAGAACCAGAAACGAGAAGCAATTTATAAAGGGTCTGGGTGTTAAAACCTAGTGTTAGGGGGACAGAACGGGAGGACAAATCCACAATAGGCCCTGGCGCCTAAGGCTTCCGAGCCCAAAAAGCCCTAGGCAGGATCCGTCCCCTTAACAAATAGGTCGGCCTTTTTGCCAGGGGTACCCCATGGGCGCTAGGGCTGAGTTGGGGCAGTGCCTGGGCTTGGTCTATTGTGTATTTGTCCTCCTGTGGGAGGGGCCGCCCTAGGGATCGAACCTGAGGTCTCCCTTAAGAGACATCACAGGTGACCCCTGGTACCACTTGGGTTGAGGCAGTGCTTGGGCTTGGTCTATTGTGTATTTGTCCTCCCGTGAGAGGGGCCTCCCCAGGGATCGAACCTAAGGTCTCCCTTAAGAGACGTCGCAAGTGGTGCCAGGGGTCACCTACGATGTCTCTTAAGGGAGACCTCAAGTTTGATCCCTGGGGAGGCCTCTCCCACGAGAGGACAAATACACAATAGACCAAGCCCAGGCACTGCTCCAACTCGGCACTGCTCCAACTCGGCCTTGGCGCCCACAGGGTACCCTTAGCAAAAAAGCTGACTTTTTTGTTAAAGGGACGGATCCTACCTAGGGCTTTTGGGCTCGGAAGCCTTGGGCGCCAGGGCCTATTGTGGATTTGTCCTCCCGTGGGAAGGGCCTCCCCAGGGATCGAACTTGAGGTCTCCCTTAAGAGATATCGCAGGTGACCCCTGGTACCATTTGAGCTAACACCTAGTTTCCACGAACAATAAGATACAATACAAAGAAAAACTCTAGGACTTGTAAAGGGGAATTGATCCAAGGAAAGAAGAAGAATCAGAAGACAAAAATTTTTAAAATAATAGTTGGGCCGCTTTTGAAACCGACGAGCTTCAAGCCTTCAAGTCTGGATTTCCAACGAGACAACCCAAGTTTAGCTTAGTGAAATAAAGAGACTATAAGCCCGTGGTAAAAGTCCAATAAAAATTGAAAAGCCCCTAAAAGGCCCAGTTCGAGACTTTGGGTCCCACTATGGATTCTGTTTGGGCAGAAGGTGCAACTCAGGCCCTCTACTTACATTTTGTGGCATATCAGCCCCTAGACTTAAAAGTAATGCAAATGAGCCCCTCTACTTGACAAAACCCGCGAACCAGCCCTTCTACTAACGATAACATCATCAAATCTCATCTTTCCGTCTACATCCTTGTTA